TTTTTTTTTTTTTTTTCGGGGCAAGAGATAATAACTAGTTTTGAGAAATTGAGATTGTTTATGGGGAGAGTTAGGAGTTTTTTTTATTGCCTTTGTGTGCACTATATGGAGGAATTAGAAGAAATGACTCTTTTGGTTTGGAATAAAAAGTTGATTCATTTCATAATGTGGGTCTACAGGAAAATTCAAAATAAGTTTTCGACTTTGAAAGTGTCTTGTCATGGTTCAATTTTAAAATTTAATTACACAGGTAAGTGATTGGGAGTGAAATAAATAAAGCTGAAATTTAGCTGGTTTCTCCTATCACCTCTTTGGTAATTCTTCAAGTTTATTTTTCTCAATCTAGATATTAGTTTACTGTGTCATTGCAATTATTATGAGTTTCGAAGGACATTAAAATTGGCAAATGGTGGTTTTTTAGATGCAACTTCATCATATGTGTATATATATATATATATATATATATATTTTCTTTTATGATGTTTCCTGAATTGTTGCTCTTGTATACCACCATTTATCTTTTTACTGTTGTCTTGGTTTCAGGTAGAGAAGGAGCTAGTTTTGCCAAACTTTTTGTAGGTTCTGTTCCAAGGACAGCCACTGAAGATGATGTACGTTGGTTTTGTTGATGAAGTCTTTCCTTGACAATGTTTAAATTCAAACTATCAATAATTTTGTGAGGATTTCTTTCAGCAATGGGCAATTCTGTTTCATCAACTCGAGATTCAAACTGAATCATTTTGTAGTCTGGTTACTATATTTCAAGAGTGTTCTTATGGGAGGGAAGAAAATTTTGTTAATAAAACATCAGCTGATAGTAGAGGAAGAAACTTTAGTGATTAGAACTTCATATAATTTGACAATCATGACTTCTAATGTAATTTCGGGCTTGCTCACTGACTCTTATCATAAGAATTGTTGAAGTCAGGCACTAAATCAATAGATTTACTTATATATATATATATAAATTTCATTCCATTGAATGCATTAGTTATCTGGTTAGGTTTCACAATTTCCAATGTAATTTTGTCCTTTTTTTGACCTCAATGATTCAGGTTCGACCTCTATTTGACAATCATGGACGTGTTTTAGAAGTTGCTCTGATCAAGGATAAGAGGACTGGACAACAACAAGGTATGTGTAAATGCTTTGTCTTGTACAATTATGAATTTATTGTGAATCTCCTTTCAGGTTTGAGGGGCTGAAGGAAGCCACTGTACCCTTATGTTTCTCGTCAGTTTTCATTTGACTTCTTTTCTGTTCATACTCCATCATCCGAGAGGAAGACGAGATCAGACAATAAAATAACTCATGAATAGTCATTGAAATGTTTCATTTGTTTTTCTTTATTTTGGGGTAGTTTTGGACATTTTTTTTGTTCGTTTTTCATATTTTTTGGGAGAAATCTGTTGTTGTATGACAAGGGAGACTACAACAATGTTCTCTTTATCGATGTCTTTTGAGTTCTTTTGTTGATATTTTTTTTTTTGGTGTCATTAGTTATTTCTCCCTCTTGGATGGGTTTAATGACTTGACTCTTCATAAACCGTCAGTCTAGGGACTTAATCGATCTCATCTTCAACTCGGTATCCACATGATGGGCTTGCACTTTTTGTATTGTGTTAGAATGTTGCTCGTAATTTCTCTTTTATTATCCAGCCGTTTACTTTTTAGGTCTATTTTATACATATACTGAATTATAGAGAATTGATTTCCTGGGAAGTACACAGACATGATTGTGAGTGTCATAGTGATGTATTTGTCACAACACTTGATTCCTCAGATATCTACATAATGTAGGACCTTCATCAATGAGTTGTGGTGTAGTTGTGAAATTTATGCTGTTGCCCTCCAACCCTGGTTCTTGATCGAAATTACATGCTTGGTCAATGATGTGGATGAAAAATGATGTGATTGTTGTGTTGCTGAAGATTTTAGTTTTGTTATTGTGCTTGCTACAATTCGATTAGTTCTGAATTAACTGGACAACCGATACAGATTAGTTTGTTCTTTCGTGAGGTGTGATTATTCTTCTCATATGGCTTATGTGTTGATGCTTTAGTTTATTGGTGAAATTCCTGACCATACTACTTCAACGAGACATTTACTCATCTCCATCAAAGGTGTAATCTTGGTTATTGAAGTTTATGCATTTATATCGATTAGTTCGCTTCACAGTTGGTATTGAATCAAATAGATGTATTTTATGGATGGATTGTTGGTTTTGTTTAATTGTTATGTTGATGAGCACTATCGGGGCCATGTAAATTTGTTCTTTGTAGCGACTTTTGATATTATTAGAAATTTTGACATCAGCAATCAGAACAGGTTTTGGTTTCTCTGAACGAATATTCTCTTTCTTTCTTTCTTTCTTACTTACTTTTTCTTTTGTCTTCTCTCCACTCCAGAACCGTGCGTTAACATGAATGTTTATGCAATTTAACAGATTTGTTGATTATATTTGGTATGAGCTCTGGTGGTGAGACATTCTTTGTGTTGTTAGAAGCAGCTACTTCACTTTACTTCTACGCTATGTTTTGCCTTTCATCTCATGGTGCCGCAAAGTGCTTAAAGGAGGTTTTGCGTGTTCCATGGGATTGTGTGTGTATGGAGGATATTTTGGATGAACTATTGGCTTATGATGTGCAGCTTCTCAGTTTTCATGTTTAGCATTATCAGGCTTAGTTTGATTTTTGATCTTGCGAGTTTCTTGTGTGGTTATGCTAGCAATTCCACAGAAATTGTACGCTCTATTCTTCAAGATGCTTTCAAATTTTCATATTTGATGAGCAAACTAAATAGTTCATTGTGTTGAATGATTTTGTCTCAGTAATGAGATCATTAGTGTGATAGACCCTTCTTAATTTTGGGGGTTGAAATCTTATGGAACATGTCGTGTTCTACATTTAATTGTACTTTTTTTATGAATTAAGCAATGTGGTGATGGTGAATTTTGGTGGTGTGAGCCGTAAAGTTGGGAAGCCTAAGGTTACTAGCCTTAGTATACATTTTGTTTGTCAGGTTCAAGAATTGCCTTTATATTGTTCTTGTTTGTTTTTTTCTTGTGGAGCATAGGAACGTGTTTGGTGAATCTTAATTTGTAGATAATTTTCCTTTGCATTTACTCTATGACCAACTCAATTGGTGATTTGGATTCTTTATTTATCAGATTTTTGCTATGATTGTGATTCTTGGAGTTTCTGAGTGGTGAATGTATTTCTTTTGTTAAGTAGGTTTTTGCTATGGCTTGTGCTCTTCAATGTTCGCTTCGATTCCAGCTAATTATTGTTTGGCTATTTAATTTACTCTAAAATATTTTTTTATGCTCTTATTGGTTTACATGCTTTGTGTTGGTATTGTTAAGGAGTACGATGGTAACTATATTAATTGATTTGATTACTTCATTTTTTTGGATTTATGGTGTTTGTCTTATTTTTACACTAATCGGTGTGACATATTAGTGAGTTGTCTCGTGTTACACATTTTGGTGTATGATTTACTAACTTATACAGAGCATCGTTGGACTATAAGAATGAGTTTGCCTGTAACATCTGTATACAAGCGTAAAATAAGTGAGAGATCCCATTTTAGTTTGGGACTTGGTGAGACTGCTTCATGTCTTCTGACAATGATGGTGGTCATTGATTATTGATGCTAATTTACTACGGAAAAATTAGTTGTCAGAGACTGACGTTAGCTACTTGCTAATTTGCCATGATTTGCATCGACATTGCACTGATCTGTAGGCTTGATTGTGCTTTATTGTTAGTGTTCTTTGCCCATTTATTGCTTCAATATTTGATGTTTGTATCTTGATTTTGTATGTTAATTGTTCTTCGTCTTTAAGTTGGATTTGTATCCCATCTTTAAGTTGGATTTGTATCCCTTTTCTAGTGATGAACTGGCTGCGCACAAAGTTACCTCAATATGATTGTTGTATTGTAGACTGTTGACATTTTGATGGCCGTTTCTTGGTCTCTGGCTAGGAATGATTATAGTATTGGCTGCGGAAGTGTGTTATTTGTTCTCAATGTTTATATTGGGTGTCTAATGTGGGTTTTCTATGTCATGTTGTCTCAATCCATTTCATGTATCCATTATGTATCCATGTATGATAGTGATGTTGGTAAAGAATGTTAGGGCATGCTACATTAATTTCTGCAGAGCTTTTGGAGAAGAGGGGTTTCCTGTGTTGTTTCAGGATATATGTATTGATGGAGAAATGCATCAAGCTGCATGAACTAGTGCTTTGTTGGTGATTGAGGAAGGTTTTGGGGGAGTGGCACGAAACGAACATATTATTATTATTGTTATTGTTATTGTTATTGTTAAATATCAATTGCGCCTTAGTCATTGCCCAAAGATTAGTTTGTTCGCGGGTGAGGATTGAATATCTTGACAAAACCTGGCTTTCGGTTTTGCCTACGTAGGTTGCTGTTTCATTAAGTATGCTACTTCGGAAGAGGCTGATAGAGCTATTAGAGCTCTGCATAATCAATATACATTACCTGGGGTATATCTTCTCCTTGGTTTCCTTATGTTGATGACTCATAACTTAAGCTCTTATATTTCTTATTTCATTTGTGTTACACAGGCTATGGGTCCTATTCAAGTCAGGTATGCTGATGGAGAGCGAGAACGCCTTGGTACGTTCGTTGATTTCTGTTCTGTAGAAATTTTGGCATCATATTTTGTTTGTGATTTTTTTCTTTGTACTAGTTGGAAGTAGTTGTGGAGGTCAAATTTTATTTATTTACCATTTGCAGAATTAGCAGCCTGTTTATTTTATTTATTTATTTGCTGGTCATATGGTCACATGCAGGTGCAACGGAGTTCAAGTTGTTTGTTGGGTCATTGAACAGACAAGCTACCGAAAAGGAAGTTGAAGAAGTATGTTATGCTGCTGAAAGATATCTTTTGGCTTCTCTGTTAAATTAAAACTAACCGTATACAGTGCTATACTACGTCTTCTCCATATGCCTGTATAAGATTTGTTGTAAGAGCCTTGGGATGAGGGGACCATCCTGTTTAAAATGCATCTTCCATCTTCTACTTTTTTCCCTTTTCATAGAGCCTGCTCAGGCTGGGAATATGGCCGTGCATATAGCTTATGATCCTACTTTGGAATTTATTTCTTCAGGAAGCTATAATTTTGTGAATTTATTGTAATATTACTTGTTTATGTTTACATTTTTGGTTTAGCTAAGTATTCTCTGAAGGAACAGTGGGATTAATGTTTTACCTTTTGCAGATTTTCTCACCTTATGGTAGAGTTGAAGATGTTTATCTGATGCGAGATGAAATGAAGCAGAGCCGCGGTATGTACCTTTGTGCTTGCTGGTCTCAGCTATAGACTAATTATGTGATAGTTAACCACCTACGGATATCCATGGGACCTTTTACATCAGTGTGTGGCTAGTACATGATTTTAGTATAAGAATGAATTCCTCATTGGGTGATGTAAGGGATATATTACCTACACACACGACATTTCAGATTCGAATCCTCTCCTTTCTTGTTTCGTCTCCCTACTCATGATAAATTTGTTTGAAGGATGTGGATTTGTGAAATATTCTCAGAGAGACATGGCACAGGCAGCTATTAATGCGCTTAATGGGACATTCACCATGAGAGTAAGCTCGTTTCATCTGCATTCAATTACCCTCATAGACAATTGGTATATCATATGATTTTTTCCATTGCAGGGATGTGACCAGCCATTAACTGTTAGATTTGCTGATCCTAAGAGACCTAGACCTGGAGATTCCAGGTTGCTTTTGCACAAATTACAGTTTTTTATTTATTTTTGTTTTTTTTTTATTATCTCTGATTATGTAGAAATTTATTTTTACTTTATGTTCTTTTTAATTTTTCTGTTTTCTTTTTTAGTCGAGTCACATCCATGGTTGTGAAAAATATTTATGGCTGGCAATAAGAACACTTTATTTCACCTTTAGGCATGTTAATCTAGACAGTATTCTTCTTCTTTTGTTCTCAAGGTGGGAAAGCTTATGCTGTCTCCTCCTTTCCCACTCCAGAGTGTATTATAGGTTTGATACATTTATATTAATGATTAATTATATTTAATTTTCCTTTCCAGAAGTGGTCCTTCTTTCGGTGGACCTGCTTTTGGCCCTCGTTTTCCGTCCCCTGCAATCAGGTATCTCCCCGTTATCTCTTCCGATTAACTTATTGCCAGTTCTACTTCTTGATTTTCTATCTTTCGAATATTTGATATTCCACTTTTCTTTTTTCTCTTTTATAACTTCTGTAGGCCTCCACTGGACCATGGTGCGCCACTTCGCGGGCCCGTTCCTTCTAACTGGCCTCCGGTGAGCCCGCACAGCCTTGGACCGTCTGCTCATGTTGGAAACCAAATTCCTGCTAGTTCTGGTGATATGAGTTTCTCTTCTAACCCTGTAAGATAATAATGAGCTCTTTTCTGTTTATCATTTTATATCACCAAGAGTATTAAAATTTAAAACACGAGTACAACTGTTCTTTTCTACTCCCTCCTATTCTTTTTAAATGTCGTTCGATGCTGTAGCACATAAATTAAGATTTTTTTTTTTCTTGTCAATATTAGCCTTATTGAAGCAAATTAACATTAATTAATATATTTCTTTTCAACTTTTTTACACCTTTTTTATGTTCTTAAAAACTCACTGTCTTCCACAAGATTCCTCCCAAAACGTGTAGTGTATTAATTAAATGAGGGTAACAATGGAAAAATATGTAGATCCAAAACATCATTTATTTGATTAATGATCAATGAAGCCAAAATGACACATAAAAAGAATAGGAGGGAGTATTCAATATTATTTCTTATGTTTTCTTGCCCTGTTCCTAGGGTCCTCTGGGAAACCTTCCGGGCAAGGCAGATGGTTCTCTTGCTGGACCTACTGTAAGTAGAATTATTTGACTCGATGGTTTCTGTCACTCTCATGTTCGTTATGAAGAAATTTGAACTTGTACTTGCTGCAAATTCCACTGCCTCACGAAAATCTATAAATAAAAATCTCTTTCTTGTACAGAGACCACCTCTCCAGTCACAACAGAATTTGCCGCCGTCCGCACAAGTACAGCCTTTAAATTCAGGGTCTTTTTCAAGCCTTCAAAGTGTACAGGGACCATACATGCAACCTGGAAAGGTGCAAACCCCTCAGCAGCTGCCTGGACAAAATGGTCAATTCTCTGTTCCCCCGACACAAGGGCCGCAGGGTAATGCAAACCAACAATTGCCACCACCCCAGAAGATCCAGTCTCCATCGCATTTGGCTCAGATGCTGTCGCAACAGAAACATAATCTGCAAGCCACGTTTCAGTCATCACAACAAGCCTTCAATCAGCTACAACAACAGGTGCAGCAACTACAACCAACGAACCAGAATTTACCAGCTCATCAGGTACCGATTGTTTGTAGTTTGTTAGTAGACATAATCAAGATGGCTATTTCGGTGGCCCATACAGAATAGAAGTAAGAATTTCAGATCATTTTTATTTTTTCTTCTGAGCTGGTTATTTTTGTTTATTCTGCAATTTTGATTGGTCCAATTTTTTTTTGACAAAATTCTGTGTTTTTATGATGAAGATTGTTTTTCCCTTACATTAAATGTTTTTGAAAGTTTAACTGCACTGTGTCGTGTTCACCAATTATTTGATTCTCTGGCTGATAGAGATGGAAAAAATAAGGAAGTCGAGTGTAGAATATTTGGTGCTTACTTTTTGGCGATGCTGATTGGTTGATTTTCTTACATGCAAATGATTAGCTTACTCTTTTTATTTCTTATAACCCTTTATTATTGCAACATTTTTATATGTTACTGTTTAGGCTATTGTATGTATTCCTATAAACTATTTGGTGTAGTAATCCTCTTTTTCTCTTCTTAGATTTCGTGGTCTCAGCCAGTTGCAAACACGTCAGCTGGAAATGTAACTGCAACCACACCTGCCTCAGCTACTAACTCAGCCATCCCCACTGTTAGTTGTAAGTGGACAGAGCATACGTCTCCTGATGGATACAAGTATTACTATAACAGCCTCACTGGTGAAAGCAAGGTAACATCGTGTCATCTGCACATCACTATAAAATGCCTTTTTTTGAAAAAAAAAAAAAGAAAATAAAAAGAAAATAAAACGGTATGCCATTCTTCTTGTTGACTGGTTATTGCAGTGGGAAAAACCTGAAGAGCTGATACTATATGAGCAGCAGCAGCAACAGAAGCCGTCTAACCAACACCCACAGGTACAGACCCATCAGATGCAAGTACAGTTTCAAGGTCAATACGGGCAGCTTCAAAACCATCCCAAGCCATTACAGCAGAGTACTCAAACCTCGGTCAGTTATTTTATGTGTGTTCGTGTGTCTTTGATTTTTATTTTTATTCGTTTAGTGGCTAACAAGCTTGTTGCCTTTTTTTTTTTTTTTTTCAGTACCAGGTTACTGGGTTTTCAGCCTCACAGAGCAGTAAGGTACAAGTACCAAGTAGCTGCAAGCTTTTTCTGGTTATTTGACAAAACTGTTTGCGTGGACGTTCTTGTTTGTTATGTATACTTTTAGTATTCATTCAGATTAAGATAGTTGCATTTTGTTTAGGTGCTTATGAAGCATGATGGATTCACATGCAACTTCATTTTATTAGAACGAAATGTGCAGTTCTTAGTAGCATAGACCTTTTTTTTTGCAACCATTACCGGGAAGTACACTTAGTCTGGTGGCATTTTCTGTGGCGGACTTTCTTTGATTGTCATGTTTGTGTGCATCCCTGAGCATTGAAGAGTTAACATCATCATTGCTTTTCCCAATGTAGACATTGGTGTTTTGAGTTATAAGATCTATAATATGAGAAACTTGTCACCACTGATGACTATTGTAGATTTTGATGCCTAATTTTGTTGAACTAAATGCGATTCTTTACTTTTGACTTGTGGGAGAATCAGGAACATGGCTATGGACAAATACCGGCAGAGACATTTCAAGTAACTAACCCCACACGAAACCAGCAGGTTAGAAGTGCGTAACTCATTTCATCTTATATCATAATTGAGTTCCTTATGGAGTAATTTGCTTAATGTGGCACAGGGTATTCAGGAGCCGCAGGAATGGATGTGGAAGAATAATAACTGAGGTTTCTGCTTCTGTGGTGCTCTTGGTTTATATACATCAAATTAATTTTAATTCTTGTGCGAACATTAAGACTATAGTTTGGGATTATATAAGAAGCTACGCAAATAACTTAACTTTATCCTGTAACTGTTATCCATCAAAATTACAAGTATCACCTTGTAGCGTTACAAGTGCCTCGTTGAGGTTTGTATTGCTGCTAGAGAGAACCCAACAACAAAGAGGATATTATAGTGTTTAAGCTACACCTCACGGGTTGTTTCTGTGCTTATATTTAAATCCTGTATTCTTGCTTGCATCTCTTGTTCGATTTGCGACATTTTTGGAAGAATAATTTGAAGTTGAAACGAATTCCTGCAACGTTAATATTCCGATGGAAAATTTTCTTCCCGATTTTTGTTTTGCTCTTGCCTTTGTCTGAAAGCATTCGCTTACTTCACACTGTCTTGTTGAAACTGGTCAGACAAGTGCCTGATGCGATTACAAGACGTACATTTTGGACAAGAGGAAACAGTCTTGGGAGGAAAGAGAAACAACTAAAGTTTGTGAAGTGAACAAAAAGCCCTTTTTGCTACTCCTCTCGTTGTTGGGTTGGTTGATTGACTCTAAGGTGGCTGAACCAGTTACTCACGTCCTCAAAATGTCTTAAATAGAGTTCCATGAAAGGGTGTTGTAATAATGTATAATAATTGTTGGTAGGTTCTGGATTTACTTGTCTGAGTGTAACCATTATAATCTCTCTCTCTCTCTCTCTCTCTCTCTCTCTCTCTCTCGTTTTTAAAGAGGATCAATGGTGGTTTTTCACTTTTTCTTTTGAGTGTCTCGAACTCGAGACCTATTGGTCCCAAATGGAGGGTGCTACCAATTGAGCTATACTTCTCGTCTTGAAAATGTTCAAATTAATTAGAGAGTATGACTAATTTACAATCACATGTTTTTACTATGTTTCCTTTCAACAGCATTTACATGCAAAAAGACAATAATCTTTCCCAATTTCCCCAAAAGTAGATATCCATTCATTGTACATGTAATAAGTAAAATAGAAGTGTGTCTGAACTTGATTTTGCAGCAAAAAAAGATACTGTTCTAATAGCTTTTAGGTGAGGGGCCTGTACATAAATTACACACATAAGTTCTGGGAAAAAAATTAGCTAGCTAGTTAGTACTATCTGATTTTGCTTATTACTGACGATGGGTAAAAAAATCATTGTCTTCCTGGTTGTATTCAGAATAAGGTTGTACTAACCTGTATTTAGATGATTGAATGCAATAATAAGGGCACGTGGAGAGAGGGGCTATCATCTCTTTCTATCCACCGTCTTTATACAAGTGAAACGAAATAATATATCAAAAGCCACCAATTATTTTAATTTGTAAATCGTTGCATGACTAAGTTACTAAGACGCTTGAATATAATTTTTTTTTTTTATTTTTTTTTTTCCGATGGTTTTATAAATAAAAAACGCAAATGTGCGAATACACAAATACACAGCAGCCAACGACTGAAAAAGTGGGAGGACAGGTCAGGAGACAAACTAAAAATTCGCCGCTAGCAAAGCTAGAATGAAAACACACAAGAACCACACAATCAAAAAACTAAAAAGATCCCAGCAGGATAATACCCGAGTGTCAGATTCCAGTGGGATAACAAATTGACACTTCGGCTCACATGGGCCAACGACCCAAACAAAAAATACATGCCCTAAACAATACAATCACCGACAAAACTAACAAACAAAAGCCTACAGAAAACAAAGACACTAAAAAAAACGAAACAAGCCCTTCATAAGCAGCGAAACCAAGCAGAGCCGGTGGATACCGAGATGACCCAGAGTGAGTCACACAGCCAAAGAGGACCGACCCGAAATTGCCCAAACACCAACTCGGTGGTCTAACGAAGTCAGTCCAAGCCCTAGAACAACATCTGAAATCAAACTCGAACCACGACCTCAACACCCAAGATGCCTCAGGACCACCACGAGACCGAACCCACTAACACCACTAGCGAGACCAACCACACCCGGTAAACCCCCGAACCACCAAGATGTCGAGGCTGCAGCCACGTCCTTTACCGCCCGATTCCGCCACAATCCACCATCCCCCATTGCCCCACCTCTGCCATCACTACTGGCTAGAGGTCAGGACAATGGTCCACCCCAGACCCCACACCGAAGGAAAGGGGAAGAGGGCTGAAAGCGTAGCGTAGCGGAGCTTCGACCGTCCGACAGCATCGCCGCCGAACAACCGAGACATCAACCACTCGACCGAATCCGCCGCTGAAATCCTCCGCCCACCACAGCCCCATCTCTGCCATCACCACTGGCCGGAGAAAGGAACGATGGTCCTCCGCAGACCCACCACCAGAGGAAAGGGGAAGAAGCCGAGAACTCAGCGAAGATCCGAACACCCACACCCCGTCGTCGCTCTCCAGGAAGCCGAGAAAAGCCCGCGGACCGGCAACTGAAAATCGACCCGAACTAGAGAGAAGAAGAAGGCTTACCTGAAACTGTCGACGATGGAGGCGCGTGAAGCCGGGCAGAGACCAGGCGGTCGGGGGACGACCCCCGATTCGAGCTTAATTACTGCAGAGGAAGGCGATCGACGCTGGAGTGGAGAGGGACGATCCGGTAGGGTTTGGGGGAAGGGGATCGCGAGAGCAGGTAAAATCGAGAGCTCAATTTTTTTTTATTTGATTGCATTTTTTGGTTTGGTTTGGTTAATTTTTTGAAAAAAAATGGTATGGTTCGTTGTTAATGGGTTTATTAAAATTATATTTGAAATAAAATAATTACTATTGATTTTATGTACAAGTGGATGAGAGATGATTTGAAGTGATAGTTAGTTAAAATTATGTGAGTTGGATGAATAGTGATTTAAAGTTGATGTGATGTGTAAAAATGATTGAATGATATTATTAATTATATTGATAATATTGATGATGGTGGGGTTGAGTTAAAAAAATGGTTGAGTTAAAACTGTTTGGATTTTTTGGGATGGATTTGTGTCCAAGCATCATCACTTAGTTATTGAAATATGCGCTGACAAGATCTGAATTGTTAATCTTGATAATATCATAACGAATAAGAGATATCAATGAATATTTCGATAATCCATAAGGTAAATCGAGTGAGTTGTCACTTATGAAACTCGGGAAAATTCACTTAGAGTAGCTCGGGTGAGCTATCTCGAAGGTAGCTCGAGTAGCACAGTTGTAACAGCTAGTAGCTCTGGCATGATGAGGACCTCTTGGTAGCTCGGACATGATTAGTCCTCTTGGTAGCTCCGACATGATGATGACATCTTGTAACTCGGGTATGGTGATGACCTAAGGACAAGTAGGTCGTTGGACCTACTGATGATAGTAGATGTATATGAGGGACCTGTAGGTAGTAAGTGTTATAATCATCAACTCAAAACTCAGTTCTCCACCAAGCCCAACATACAAGCCCAAATGAGGTTTCATTCTAAAATCAATTGGCAGTAGAAAGAGTAGTCCACCAAGCTTATATGTTGGACTTGGAACCTTTAATTTTATGATGTGGGATTGGGTCTGCACGCCCTACAAACCACCCCTAAAAAACAAGACGACATTGGGCCTCCCCATGAACGAAATTCATACGATCCGACCATCTTGTACCGCCGTTATCACCCACGGAACCCGCCGCCTAACCACACCCTTTCGCCAGAAAAACTTTCGACACAAGGCACACAGATCCACCAATCGTCCACCGGCTCACATGGGGAACATGCCACGTCATCCACATCGCAATTGGGCTACCAACCGTGGCTCTGATACCACTTGTTGGGGTAGGACAACAAGCACAACAGACAAAACTACCCCTACAGTAGGTTGGTGGACCTGCTAGTAATGTATCTAAGGGACCTAAGGACAAGTAGGTCGGTGGACCTACTGATAGTATGTGTATGAAAGGGACATGTAGGTAGTAGGTTAGTGTACCAACTGGTAATGTATTTAAGAGACCTAAGGACGAGAAGGTCAGTGGACCTACTGATAGTATGTGTATGTTAGAGACTTGTTGATAGTAGGTTGTTGGACCTACTGGTAATGTACCTAAGAGGCGTATGAGGACTTAACACAAGAGGAAAAATTAGAGATTTTGTCCTGTAAGTGACACCCATTTGAGGTTTGGTCCTCCTCGATACCGACTTTTGGATCACGTCCCGTAAGTACAAAAAAAACCTGAAAAATCGTCCTTACACCGACTAAATTAGGTAATTCTTACCGGCTTGCTGAGGTGGAATTTGTTTTTAATTTTTCTTTTTTTTTTGCTGATGTGGCGAATTATGTGGCAAATTACAAAAAAAATGTAGGAAGGGACACTCGAACCTGGGCCTATGGCATGCAAAAGACAATATGAACCACTTGACCTAACACATATTACATTAGGTACTTAACTTCACTTATATATATTAAAAAAAACATTTTATCCCAAAAAAGGGAAATTTATATATTATTCAATTAATTAGAAAACTTATAAATAAGGTATTTATCAAATTTTTATCTATTAACAAAATAAATATAAGTAAATAAATAAATAAATAATATTATATTTAATTACCTTATTTAATTAAAATTTTATTATCATTAATGTTGTTTTTATACTAATTTACCTTATTAATTTTATATATATTAAAAAAAAGATTTACTAAATAAATATATATATTAAATAATATAATAAGCAAATATATTAAATAATAAAATTTTAGTTCGCATATTTATATATATATATATTAAATAATATATTTAATATATATATTAAATATATAATTATATATATATTAATAAAATGAATATATATTAGATAAATATATTAAATGATGTCGATATTAAATAAAAATATATTAAATAATGTAATAAATAAATAAAATAAATATAATAAATAAATAATTATATTAAATATATAAGAAATAAATATACTAAATAAATATATTAATAAGGTAACAAGAAAGCAACATAAATGATAATAAAAGTTAAACTAGTA